GAAAAAAAAAGGTCTCGCCTAAAAAATAAACCACACCGTGCACACCTACATATAAACACGATTCGCCTCTTGTTTGCTTTTGTTGTACTCAATCGGTTGCAGCCTAAGATTAAAGGTGCATTAATACATTAATTGTATTATTTAACTGCTTCCTTTAGAAATATTCCATCTTTAGAAATAAACTTCCAAATCCACACTTTGTGTTTAAAAAAAACAAGAAACAACTAACTGACCAGCTCAATAACACAGCATTACAGGCAAAGGTGATCCTATTCCTGATGGGGCAAACTGCCAATGTCACGCTGATTGATGATGAAAAAAAAGGCTACTTTATGACTGACTTAAATGTATAAACTTAACTGCAAAGTATAATTTCTAGAACATCCATCAGAAAGCCATGTTGGGTGCACAGCATTGCACCCTTGAGGGAAAGAAGAGTTATGTTTTAAAGAGGAGTGAAAGTTTAATGGTGCGGAACATGTATGTGATCTTGTAACAATCCCACTGTAATGGCGACACAGTAAAATTGTCCATTAGCGGAGGCCCATCGGTGTTTTTTATGTTATCAAACGAGCTCATAAGCATCAAGTCGCCAACACGAGCATCAAGTTATCTGATCGATGAGCACAGTGTGGCTGCCAATTAGCACCGACCCTATTCCCATAAATATGCAAATGAATCGATGCCAAGTGTATATCAACTGTCAGCTAACTGCCTGAGGCCTGAAAGGTTCTGAATTTAAGGGGACGTATGGAGGAAAAGGAAAAATGTACAGCAAACATTGCATGTTTTTCCTTCATGTTCCATATTTATCTGTCTTTTGCTTTTCTTTTCTTTTTTTGCAGAATGTATAGGTGTAAACCACACACACAACACAGCTGCCATTCAGCCTCGGGGCTTTTGTTACACCTCAAAGAGGGACCACCTTTAGTATGAAGCTATATTTATTCAGTAACAAGCATTTAATCTCGCTTTCAGTCATGTATGTAAGCAGTTCCCCGTTGAGGAGACAAGCACTGTCTACTACTGTGAGGAAAAAGCTTTTTCATCTTGCCTACTTTAATATGGAGGTCAAAGGTCAGATTTAAGTGTAGAACAGAACCCCTGGACCTCTTACAGATTCATTTTCTTGTGAGTTGACAGGTGCTGTAGGTACTACTGGTGTCAGACAGTGTCTGAGCTCAGTACGCTGTCTCGCTGCCCGAGTCACATGAATTATGAAAGGTTCTGAAGCAGGTGAAGGAAAAAAGATGGAAAGTGTCATCCTACTCAGACACCTCTGTCTCAATATTCATTTTAAAGTAAGAATAGAAAGCAACATTTTAATGCTGACACCAAAATTTTACATTGCAAAGTCAACAGACAACACTCGTTATATCGCGTCCTGTTAGACTTGACACACTTGGTCAAATATCAAAGCACATGTCGCTGAGAGTTCCTTTCTGCTTCTCTTGATCCTGGTCTTCACTCATTTCATGTGCACAGAATTGGCCTCGAGCACACCATGTGGGGAAAGAAAACATACCTGATGTGGTTTACAATAGCCTGTTTGCTGTGCTTAGTGAATGCCCAAGTCTGAAAGTCTCAATATGGCACTTGTTCACCTGTTCACCTGTTTATCTGTTGCATTATCACTGCTTTGCACAACCAACTTGCACTTTCTGATGATAAAAAAAAAATCGAACTCTTAACACATACACTATTTTCCAATCTTCCCCGACCCAGCTCTGCTAAAGAGAGCATAACTATAATTCAAACTCTTCCATTCACATCAGCACTACGTATAAGGCCAGCTCATCGCGGCAGCTTGTTGGACTGTCGTCAGCACTTCATCCTGTGGACGCCTGCCAGACAGAAGCCCTTCCGTCCGATCAATAGGCACCGGCGGCTAGCTTCCCCCCTTTCCTCTCTTTCTCTTTCGCTGTCTTTCCCTCCCTCTCTGGGCGACCACAGTATAAAGACTGTTCTGTTCTGCCAGCGCAGCATAGTGATTAGGCATTAGGCCTGTGCTGCTGTGTGAATTAGCCTAATCTGTGTCCGCGATGAAGGACGAGGCTTTTCATGGCCACTGGAGACATTCACTGGACATAAAAGAAGCTAATCTTTAGAAAACTTAGAGGGGATGGAGCATGTGTCAGTATCTGTGTGTATGTGAAGGATGGAGATTGCGCAGGAACTGTTGAGAGAGTTCCCACAGTGATAGATCGTTTCTAATGCTTCTTATCCTTCAACAGTAAAAATAAATAAATACATTTTTAAAAAAATCTACTTCCTGAGGATGTGCAGCTCATGGGCAAGAGAAAGAGAAATGTCATTTCTTAAAGTACTGGAAAAGTGGATAAAGTGCTGGCTGAAACAGATTGAGGCTGCCATCCATGTAGGGCGTGTGTGAGGAAAAAATATATCCCTTTATTCTTCAGTCAGTTTGAGGGGAATTAGAGGAGACTGAATTGTCACAAGGCTGCTTACCTGGCCACAGAGGAATCTGCCTAAACCTGCAGATCTCAAAAGTTTTTTTGTTTCTTTTTTTTTTTTGTACTTTTGCAGCAACAGGGGCTTTGATGCGACAGAGCAAATACTAGCACCTTTTCAATCCTTGTACATCCTTATGTTAGTTGTCCATCATGCACCTGCCCAAGAGTTGACATGTAGCAGCCTGAACATGCACCCACAGCATGCCTACCAGCAGCCCAGCCCTCCTCCTGCTCTCCTCCACATCATCTGCTTGATATATTGTATGCCCTTGACAAACTGCCAGCGCCCAATCCCCCTCCTGCAAATGTCTATTGACCAAAGCACAAGTATGGCTGTGGAAAAGGTATATAGTCTCACCCATACTCTTATCTTTTTATTACCTCTGGTGAGCCAGAAACTTACAGAAAAAAGGGAGTTCCAAAAAAGAGGAGGGGAAAAGTCGATTGATTTAGAAGTAAAACGCAGTAAAGTCCAGACAGCATGAAGAATATGAAAACTTTATTTCTGGTTTTGACTTTCAGCAGTCTAGCAAATGAAGAGCACCTCTATCTCTTGTTGACACGGTGCCTTTTTGCACCTTTGGAGTACTTTTACGCACAACCAGTGGTGAATTTAGGTCAGCAGCCAGCTGGTGCCAAATATCTGTTATGTGTTGGGTGATCTCTGCACAGCAGGAGTCTTGTTCCTGCGATGAGCTTCACAGTAAGCTCGCTGTTAAAAGCAGGACATCATATTTAACCCAGTCAACCAGTTTCATAAAAGCATACACAAAGGAAACCAAAAGTCATCTTCACATCCCCTGCGCATTCCTCCAAAATGCAAGTCGTACTAAAATGAAGGACCAGAAAGCACGGGCGTCTGTGGACCCGACAGCTTCCACCTCTCTGCCCGATACTGTAAAGGGGAAAATAACGCGATGACTTACCGAAATGAGATCCTGGCCACTGTCAGGCGTCTCCTCGTTTCCCTACTGTCCCTGGTCCGCCCCTCTTTCAAGTCAATCCGCAGTGTGCTCAAATCAGAACGGAGCTGTGAGCCTTTTCGCTGCGTCCTGCGTCCAGAGTTGCCGGGGATGGAACAACCATTTGCCGGGATGCTGGGGCGGGGGTGCAAGGCTGAGGCATCCACAGGGAGGAGGATGAGAGGGATGTGGAAGAGACGGGTGAGAAGGAGGAAGAGGCGAGGTACAAAAGCGAGGAAGGAAGAGAGAGAGAGAGAGAGAGGGCGAGCGAGCAGCAATGCACTGCAGCGACAGGGAGGCAACACCACCGGAGAGGAGAGGAGGCAGACAGCAGCCCTCCGTCTCGGTCTCGCGCTCACTCGCACATGCGCGCGCACGTGCAGTTCTGTGTTAATAGACAGATATAGAGCGCCATCTTCAGGTTCACGTGTGGTAGGAAGGTGTTGGGAATCGAAATCTCGTGTTAAAAATCATCTCTTGTGTGTACCATTCAGTTGAAACCTCCTCCATAAAACGCCCTTTATTCCCTCGTGTCTTGTGTCCCACCATCTCCGATCATATGTATGCCCAAAACCAACTCTTATCCTAAAGCAACCCAAAATCTAAATGAGACCCTTAATCCCACTGCTGCTGCACACACACGCTCCATGGCAACCAAGTCCCTTTGGGGGTTATGATGATGATCACCTCGCGTCCCCTTTTCCTTTCCTTCTGTTGCGTCGTATAAGTTTCCCAACGCCAGAAAAAAACTGAGTATTTCTCAGATGTGTGGTTGTATCATGAGTTAATTGTCCTGGATTGACTGAGATGAGGACTGAACCTTTTATTTCATCTTCGTTCTTTATCTGGCTTCTAATTAACTTCCACCTTCTTCCTTTCATTCTTTTGATTTTTTTTTCTCTGTCTGTTTAAGAAGTCAGTTGTGAGAAATAGCTCTAATTAGCCGGCGTGATCCTAATTTCTTTTTCAGTGTTGAAATGTCAAAACTGTATTAATAGATGTATACCACCACATCACTATTCATAAGTAAAGGCTTTTGCATTTATTTCCATATGATAAGTTTATTTCAGATCGCATACGTTTAATGTGTGGCAGTATCATAACTCTCCAGTTCGTAATATTTTATATTAAATACTATTTTTTCTTCAACAACAGTTGTGGCATAAGTTCCTTTTTTTCAGAAGAAGTGCAAAGAAATTAAACTACCCACATTAGTTTAATGACTTTAATGTTTGGGTCAGGATGCAGTTTGGGTGGTGAGATAAAAATAAAAATGCAGATATAAAACTCACTCTAATGAGCTGTGGGGCTTTAATGCCTGTTTTTCGCCTTTTGAATGGCTTTAGAATAGACAACATTATATATAATGACAATCTGTAGTGCAGTAGTATCATTATGTATTTACTGTGATTATTATTTTTTTTAAATGTCTTGTACTTTTACCCTGGAGACAAATAAGCAGTTACAAATTGAACTGAACTCAACAAATAAGAGCTTATCTACCAAATACCAGACACATTTACTTCTTTAATTCTTTTATTTGAATTTAATCAGATGGCAGAGCAATAGTCAACATTGCTCAGTCATCCCCATGACAAATGCAGGTAAGCTTGACATCATGTAAGGTGCTCTTTTATTTTATTTTATTTTATTTTTTAAATTAATTGTCAATCAAAGTGAAGGATTTTGGCCAAACAGTGACTCGGGTTATTGATCC